CCCCAAAACCCCAAAACCCCAAAACCCCAAAACCCCTATTTGCAAAGTTACAATAATAAATTGAAAAAATTAAAGCTATTAATAATTAAATCAGATAACAAAAATTTAGATTCAGTTTGCTACTGTATATTGCGCCTAGTATGGTTACTGTAGATTTTTACCTCTAAATCTATTATAGGATTGACTAGTATGTATCCTTTACTACTAAGTTAAATCAAAATTTAACTAGCTATTTTTTGGTCTTTTCCTCTCACCAACAAAACCTTCTCTTTCTATTTTCTTATTCATATATCTCTTCAAATAAGAAATCTTTTCTTAATAATGCTATCTTTGCATTGCTTTTACATCTTTAGTTGAGACTCTTATAGTCCTTGTTTATAAAGTTAGGTCTTGCGAGGCTAAAATATCAGGACTTTCATTGCTGCTTTGATAGGTATCCCTTACTCCTCCATTAAATTTATTAGGATGCTATGATTTTATTTTGGACATTGAAAGTCTATGCAAATCTCCAAGTGAATTCTTATCTGTTAGTTATACTCCTGAGACTCCTACAAGCACACTCTTAGTGATGCTCTCTCTTTCAGTATTTTATTCAAGAGAATGAGATTGTTATTATATAGGAAATCTATCAATCCCAGTTGCTTTCATTTAACTACTCGTCATATCCATATAGACTGATGATTCATGAGTGTAAGTTGATTTATAATTCCCAGCAATACTAGCCCCTATTCTATTTCCAACTCCTGCATTTGATATTGAGAGTTGGTTTGACTCTTAGGAATTTTATCTTTGATGGTTGTGACTAGTTTTAATTCTTCTGAGAAAAGTTTACTTGCTCATCATATTATTTTCAGTACCTTATCTAGACGTATTATTCATCTCTCCTTTACTTTAAGGATTTACAGATCCTTCTTGTTTCCTTATTTTTACTTAAAACATATTCCTATAACCTTTTAATTAATTATGAAGTCTTTGCTGGTTTTTCATTTTAGCAATGAATTTTTGATATTCATTATTCTTCAAATCTTGGTATGGTAAAACCTTTGGAGTTATATTAGTATTGTTGTTATCTAGTATTATTTATGTGTGAGATGTGGTACTTTGAGACTACTTTAATCTGTTATTAGCAGTACTAATTCTAGCTCTTATCTTTGCCTTGCTTTTCACATTAGAAGATTAGACATCCTCAGTCATTAGAATTAATTTAGGCTTTAAACATTTGAATACTTGATTTTGATTAGAAGGTGACCTACTTTATACTGTGTTTTAAAGTTGACAGTACTACTAAAAAGTTTTAAGAATCATTGGGGAGTCATCTTGTGTCTACTTGGTGTCAAGGTAACTGTTCGACAGAGATGAATTTCTTTTTTCAATAAATATTGGTTTTATCCTCAGCATGAAGTCCTCTTCATACATACTATCAAATTCAGTTGCAGGTTACATCATAATCTTTGATTCATTAGGGGCAGTGTAATTAGTTGTCTGGTCAATGAGGTTATAGTTTTTGTTCCTGCGCAAGGATTTATAGGCTTTCATTTATTATAAACTTGAGCGATTCAAAGCCCTTTAATCTTCGAGCAATTTATTATTATTTGTAGCTGATTTGTACTAATTAGTAATATCAAATTCTTTTTGAATACTTAAACTTGGATCAAGTTGCTTTCTTAGTATCAATCACTATTTAAGTGATTTAATAAAACCAGACTCTTTCTGAATTAGGGCATTTCTTTAAATATGTTATCTCATTTCTTGATTATTAAAAAAAACATTTAAATTTCTTAATTTCAATTTACAAACTAACTAACCTCACATGGGGTTTTGGGGTTTTGGGGTTTTGGGG